CAGACTGAGCTTCACTGAAAAGCTGACAACTTAACTGTGTATTTAGCCCCTTAACTGGCATTTACATCTCCTTAAAACTAATATTTCAATCAACTGACACTGTTGAGCCTAACGTCTAGTTGCTCCTGTCTTTGGGCCCAAGTTTCTTTGTTCCTCTTTACCAAGAAACTACAGCTTATGTTATTTTCAAATGTTAACTATTTTTGCCATGCCTTCTAAGGTGAAAGTATACAGAGCTACAGTGAAAGTATACAGCCAGGAGCGTGCAGGCCGGACAGACGCCATGGGACACAGGAAGAAACAGCAGTCCGCGCTGGATCAGAGACCGGCACCAGCACTAGAGGGACTGCTGAAAACTACTAGAAGGAAGATGATGTTCAGATCAAGAGGCATTACTTAAGGTAAGTCCTTACAGCAGCATGGGGGGGGGTCAAGGGTTTAATGTCACCTTAAAGCCTTAAAATGGCTGATATCATAGCTGATCACATGGGCAGCGCCATGAAAACTGCAATCCAAATAAAAAGCTAAGATGCCACCTACCTTGGCTGTAAGGGATAGGAGGGTGTAGTTCTGCTTAAACCTCTTTTAATGCATTTTTATTCCTTGTATGTTCACCTTGAATTGGCCAGGTTTATGACAACATTATTTACTGTACTGTATCTATGGAGCACAGAACACCTCCTCTTCACCACATCTCAGTAACACAGGGGGAGGTTGTCTGTAGTCTATAGATTTGAAGTGGACAGGGTTACAAACATTGCTTGGGGTATTAGTGCAGCAAAGGCAAAAAAAAAACTTAGCTAGGCTAGGAGCTAGGAGCTCACTGGATTTATAGCAGATCAATTAATTGTTTTTGCACTTATGGAACAGATATAAAAAAACGCTTTCACTGGTATATTTACCAGACCAAAAGAAAGCAAATGACTGAAGTTCATTGCTATTTATTTGAGCATAAAGTATTTGTGGTTTAGATTTTGTTGCTATTAAAAGGCACTTGAAACATCCATCTTCTCTATCTCAAAACATTGGAAGGTATGCTGGTCAGTCACCCACTGCCTTCTCACTTTTCTAAGAGGCTCCTGTAGTGTGATCTGTTTGCCAGACACCCTGGCTCTGCCCCCCCCATGCTGGAATCTCACTCCTTCTGTTGCATCTTCTATACATTTAAATGTAAAGGCAAATCAAACAACAGGGAGAAACCAATTCCCAGCAGGTGGGAAGAGATAGAAAGCTCAGGTGCACAGACCCCACAGGTGAACTTCCAAGAGATATGAGATCACAGTGAGCAATCCAAACCACTGACCTCAATCCAAAATTGAAATATCAGTTTGGGGTTGACTGACCCTTTGTAGACATTCAGATGGATTCTATCCTGCATATGTTTTTATGCCAAAAAACAGTCCCTCATTATTTTTTTTTGTTACAGAAAAGAAAAAAGAAAACACTGAAAAAACCTGATATAAAAAAAGCAACAGTACACAAAAAAGATCAAATACACACATAAAAAAATGAAAAATACAAATAACATCAGTAAATAAAATAAATTACTCAAAATAAATTATATATGAATATAAAAACACACCCATTAAATAAAGGAAAAAGAATACATTTCGTGGGGAGATTGATTTTGCCAAAATCACTCTGCGCATCCATATTTACAATATTCTACAACAAAAAAAGAATATGACCCTTTGTAAAGGAGGCGCTGGAGACCCAGGAAAGAGGTGCTGGCTTTGGGTTCCAATTGTTGTATGGCTATAGGCTCCATCAATGGAAATCTAACCCAGTAAATAAGTGTGTGTACACATACAGGATACATGTATGGATACAAATGATACTACTCTATATACCTGGTTCTATTTGTCCTATTTCTGTCTGGTGCATTTTTCAGTTCTGTGAAGTCCGAGACACAATGCATGTCTAGGAACAGCAGATCACCAAACACCTCAACATCCTCTGTCTTCTATCCTTAACAGTTTGAACTTAACAGATATATTTTTTTAATACCAATCTATAAATATTTAAAAATGAGCAGCCATAGAAAGCCACTTCCCCCCTAATCTCTGACTGCCGAGCTTCCCAGTTTAAAACTATTGATTTCATGACAACTTCGACTGGCTGGTCAGATGATTGCCAAGCCTTCCCTGGCTACGAATTCCCCAAAGCCAGCCTATTGAGATGTGCGTCTGCTTGAGTCCTGCATGGCTAATCTGACTTGACAACATGCAAGGAAATTCCATGTTCCCTTTTTGGTGCTTTAATGCACTTTACTGAAGGCGGAAAAAGAAAACATTTCTAATGATTAGCAGTCAGGAAATGTGAACAAGGTTTACTCGGTGGACGTATTTTTTAATTATAAGAAGAAATGCCTTTGTGATCCCAACGTCCTCCTGTTTCAGGGAATAAATCACTGTTATTTTCTAAAATAGAATGACATTTTATAGTTACCAAAGATAATTCTAAAATTAAAAAAGAAGCACTCAGTCCTATTAAAGAATGAAACATAATTCATTACTGTGATCAGGAAGCATAGTGTTCAGGTTATGATTTAAGGCGGAAAATGTCATAGCATTGTTTTTTTGCTTTTTTGGGAAGTGTGATTGTACCATTATCCTTCTACAGTATCTACATGAAGTGAACCCGTGCTTTACCTGTCATCTTCTGTGTCATCTCACTTTGGCTCCATTTTCCCATATGGGCGAACAGAAGCAGCTCAATTTAAGCTTAATACAGCTGGACCTTGCAGCGCTAAGGACTCTTTCCCTGCAATCACATGACCGCACCAATGCTTGGCGACTGGCCACTTAGGCAACCATAGCTGCATTATGGGAGTTAGGGAAGAAAATCCAAATAGGTTGTTGCAGGTTGTTAAAGGGTTAAAGGTAGCCATATAGATCTGAATTTTGGCTGATTTCCTGCTGAATTGGCCAAAAACACGTGGCTGGCCCTGCCAAACTTTGCCTAAAAAGTTGAAGGCAATCGGTGGAACATTTTTGGCCGAGCAGTGACTTCAACCAAGAAGATGCAGTCAGTGGTTGGGCATTCAGACAGCTGCGGACGTCGGCTGTGTAAATATAATAGCTGGTAAGGCAGATTCCTCCCTTAATGCAATTTAGCATGAATGGGGAAGGATTGACTGATTCCTCTCCTTCAGCCTGTGGGGCGCATGTATGGCTAGCATTAGACGTTACACAGTTACACTAATGGTCTGTGGAGCTGAAGGAAAGAATAAATAAGGGTGAAATAAATTCTAAAACCAGATTAGAAACATCTCATTCCCAATATAACTCTACGCTCATGTAATTCTCCTTCAACGTTCAACATTTCAACAGTGCCAGCATTCCATGTCCTCTTCCTTTTTATTATAGGTCATGTATGAACTGCTGTTCTTCCCATCTACAGGTTCCTACACCATCTCCTTAGGCGATGTATGAGGTGGCAGTATGGGGGAGTCTCAACATAAAAACACCCACTGCACAAGACAACATTAAAGCTGTACTCTAGGTATACATATTTATGCATACTTGCATTAGTCCAGCTTGGCCCAATGTAAGTATACATATTTTATACCCGATAGGGAAAAACACTGTAAAACACTGTAGTAGGCGGAGCTACCACCATGATTTACAGTGGTATTCCCAGAGATCTGTACTGCTGCTGTGATGTCACGGCACCCGCCACCCCCCTTGTCCAATCAGAGAACACCTCATATTCATTGATAAAAATACTAGGCGTTTGCTTAATGGCCACTGTGCCGAGCGAGCAATGCCCTGTGTTTTCACAACAGTGTTCGCTCAACACAGCAGCAGTAACCAGAACCAGAAGATTACTGTATGGCACTGTAGTTACAAGATCCCTATGCCCCTACCAGGTATGAAATATATGCTTACAGAGGGTCAAACTGGGCCAATGAGAGTATACATAAATATTTATATCTAGGATGCAATATTTAAAAAATATATCTTTATTAGCAAAAAAAAATACAGGAGAAAACACAAAGAACAAAATCTGGAGTACAGCTTTAAAGCAAATGTCAAGGCCAAATAAAAATAAACATCTGCAGAATCTCTGCGATACATGAACATCTTCTCGTGTTCTATACCTGCAAGTGCAGAAAAATACCTGTTGATATGCCAGGATTTGTCTTGTTGTGGACTGACAACATGCAACATTTTTGTGAACTGAGAGGCATCAGTCCTGACCATTGTCTTTTTCTAAACTACTCTCCCACTCCCACTCTCAGATCTCTACAATATAGGCCCCCATTCACACTAGTCATGCACGTGCATTTTTAGGCTCATCCAAACAATAAATAGGCCGTAAGCGCTGATGGAGGAATCAGTTCTATTTTTTTCCTTCAGTCCACGGGTTGAACAAAAAATAAATAATAATAGAACAGTGGCCAGCTTAAGTTAGATGTCAGAACTAGTACACACAGGGTCATGCTATCATACCCAGGGCAATATGAACAAAGCTGTATTAAGAGATCATTCGAGTCGTATTTACTCAAAAGTACCCAAAGGTGATCAGAAAATGCAAAATAAAAGCAAATAAGTAGTTAAAACCGTTTTGCTTGGGTACTATCCTTTCACTACCTAAAGACCTTGGCAAAGGCCAGTAAGTGCCTTACAGGAAACACAAGCCAACATCTAGATAGCACTCCAAGAATGCACATTGTGAAGCCATCTTTCAGACAAACAATTGTTGTCTTTGTTGTTTTGCAGCTGTCAATACTCAGTGACACTGTGCTCAGCCCTGTACATAACGGTTCACTTATGCTCACAGCTGAGCCTAGTGTTGATGAGTACTCACAGCTGTATCTGGAGGATGTGTTCAGAGCCCCAAGTGAAGAAATGATCAGACACTCAGAGCATAGTAGTAAATGCCATGAACGCATGCTACAGCACAGTTCAAGGACAAGAAAGGGGCAGGTGACTAGCGCTCCATGTACACTGTACGCACCATAGATATCTTCTGGATGTGCAGACAAATTAACTCACCATGATAGTCTTTGTATAATAGATTGGATTCCCTCTCTGAGCCGATAAATGATTCAAGGCCAACGACCGTATCTGACAAGTTTCTTACACGCACTGTAATTGCTTTATTCTGTAAAACAAGCAAAACAAAATAAACATTGAGGAGGATGTAATTAGTGTTTGCAGGATAAATCTGTGTCTTATCAATGAGCTGCCAAATAGGCAGAAATAAATCCACACTATAAAGCTTCCCAATGTGCCGAGATTATATAGAGAGATTTGTAGTGTAGAACACAGAGGCATAACAAGAGGCAACAATTCACTGTATTCCATTGCCGTAAAGCTGAACTTCAGCCTTACGTCAGCCTTGCACAGTTGTACAGGCTGCTCTCCTGTACTGAAATACACTGATTGCACTGTAAGCTCCACAATGTGCATTAGAAGCTGCAGCCCACCTAATTGCCTGGCTGGATGACATCCAGCATCATCTAGCCTATTCCTCACAAGCCTGTTGGTCCCTGGCCCCTCCACTTTCATTGACTGGATTTTGGTTCTTTCAATCATAGAAGCCCAGCATCACATGTAGGCGTTACCTAAGGTTGTCTGTATCAAATGTAATCTTGCTTAGAAACACCCACTACTGCAGACTGACATCAAGCCAGTGGCGGAACTACCACCGATGCAGCCCCGGCGGTGGGGCCTGAGTATCTATTCAAACACAGCTCTGGGGCAGAGATGGGGGGGTCCGTTGGTGTCCGGCCGCTGGTTACCATGGGATCGTTATGCGACGGGAGTGATCACATTGGCTGACGGGCCCCCTGTGTGCGACGAGGTCTTTCCGACACTCCCGGCGCAGAGATGAGGGGGCCCGTCTGCCGCCGAAAACTGTGGAGGGAGCAGAGAAAAAAAAATGCACCCCCCGGGGGGAGAACGGAGGGGTCCGGTCTGCCGCCGAAAACTGTGGAGGGAGCAGAGAAAAAAAAAGCCTACAGGCGCTGCAGGGGGCAGCCCTGGGCCTCGGCCGTGAGGACCCAGCAGACAGCCGCCTGAGTACACGGCCGCCCTGAGATGGACACACACACATGGGTGGTTTTCTGCAGCCTCCCCCACCAGGAAACAGCCAGAAGAGGTGAAGGTAAGTTAATAAATAAAATCATTATTTTTTTTTTTAGCCCAATTGATGACATTACTGTATAAAGTACTGCTGGTATTTATAGTTCTATATAGCAGGTCCCATTCTCCATACAGCAATGCCATTTTTCTAACTTTTTTTTTGTGGTTGCTAAAGGGGATATGAGTTAGGGGGGTTTGTGGGGTTTTTTTTGGGGGGGGGGCCCCAAAAATAATCTTGCACCACGGCCCTTTGTTCCCTAGGTCCGCCACTGCATCAAGCCATTTTGATATTTGCATAACTCCTCCCAAGTGCCAGCCCACTGCTTGCATCACGCTTGAGGGCTTCTGAGAGAAATACCGAGGCAGGGTGCTGTGTTCAGAAAAGTTATGTACACCACCCTTCCGGTCTCTCCCACTAGCCATGATCTGTTGGCATTGAATAGGGAAGCACAAATACTTAAGGGGTTATTTGCGAAAGGAGCCGAAACATCCAGCCATAGCTTCAGCTGATTCTTCAGCTCTCTTCGGCCACCTCTGCCCTTCGGTTCAGTCGAACCGAAGGGCTGCTGTACGGGCTATTCACTACAGCCTGTACAGCCGCCGAAGGCGGACGAGCGGTTCAGCCGAGCCGAAGGCATATGTTCCTGCTTGACTGAGCTGAAGTGACACCTGAAGCGGGGTGAATGGCCTGCCAAAGGCTGGCCATAAGCCCCGCAAATGACAGCTGGGCAGAGCCAGCCGTGATCTCACGGCTGGCCCCGCCCAGTTGTAATGACAGATCAGCATCCCCAAATGACCTGGGGATGCTGATCTGCCATTAAACAATAACACGCCAATAACAATTAAACATAGTCACGGCAGGCTCCACCCAGTTCATTGGCTCTAGCAGGTGCCGGCCAATAGGGCAACAGTTGGGCAGAGCTAGTTGTCACTGCTAGCTCCGCCCAATTGTTTTTTTTTTAAATCTTTATTTTTTAATTGTACTATTTATTTACATTTAAAAAAATATTTTTTTCAACTTTCTTCACTGATTTTCTATTCTGCTCGGTACGACAGAGGTACCGAGCAGAATAGCCAAGCCGAATGCTATCTACTCACTGCCAATCGACCCCTATGAGACTAGGGGCGAAGGCAGCGAGTAAGCTGCCGGAGCTTCGGCTCAGCGGATCCAGATGTTGGATCGGATGAGTCGAAGTGCTTCCGCTCTGACCAAAGTGCAGCCGATGTACGGCTGAAATCAGCCATACTGAGCCGGAGTGAATAGCCGAACGTTATTTGGCTCACTTCACTTCGGCTGGGTCATCCACTCGACTGCCTTCGGCAGGTTTATGAATAACCCCCTTAGTCATGATGTCACTGGGTCTAAAATAAGTTATGTAATAAATGAGCATGTTGATGACTGGGTCTAAAATAAGTTATGTAATAAATGAGCATGTTGATGAGGGGGGTTTGTTTTGAACTGGCTTTCAATGCATCTCAATGCTTGAAAAAAGCATTCTTCTTTTAGTAGCTTATGTATCTGTGTATTACTACACAATGTAGATCTGCAAAGGGGTGCAAAAAACTTTGTCAACACATCACAACACACATCTACATAGGTGTCATGACACAAGTAATAAAGGTGTGAATAAGCACATATGTTATTGTGAATTATTGTGGCACATTTAGGTGAATAATCTGTTTGCTGACTGTATTTCGTCTATCTTACATTGCTTTATTTTCGATCCGATCATTTAAAGAGCACCTTCCAATGTGATCAATCTATTTTAAAACGTTTACTTCTTACTTTTCATACAGACATAATAGAATTAACCCAAAACTGATAAGCCACCAACTTTACAAAAAGCCTTTAGGAAAGTGTGACCAAAGTGTGTAGGAAAGTGTGACCAAACTTTTAAATTGTACAGGTTACATGTGCACAAGTAATTGTATTAATAAACAAGATAATAATATAGCTGTGTACTTGTCTTCCTTTTACATTGTGCATTGTGCATTTTATATTGTACCTGCAAAGCAGTTGCTCGACCTATATCTGTTGCAAACATATTGCTAGCCCATACAACCGCCCTTCACTTGAAGCCCCCCCTTCCCATCACACCACATGCCGCTCGCCCTCCTTCCTCCCTGCCAACATACCCCTACCCACCAACTCATGCTCACATATGCTCCATAAACAAACTGCTGAACCAAACACCTTCAATAGCATTTTGATAAGAATCCAATACAAATAAAACAGAAGTTGTTTGCAGTGTATGGCCACATTTCAACAGTTTCAGACAGATTCCATCGATGAAGGCAATTGATTGATCATTAGGATTTCTTGTTTTGTATGACCAGCATATTTGAAGCCCATAGGGTTTACTTTTAAATCTTGCACTCAGCCATACACTGGGCGAATGCCATTCACCAGCATTCTCACCACTAGATGGAGCTGAAGAGCAATTCCTATGCTCCCCAGCTCTATTCAGTGGCTGAAATGCCATGCGAACGGCATTCACTTAGGGCATGGCTGGAGCCAAAAAACAATTCCTATGCACCTCAGCTCTATTCAGTGGCAGAAATGCCATGTGAACAGCATTCGCCTACAATAAGGCTGAAGCCGAGAAGCAATTCCTAAGCTCTCCAGCTCTATTTAGTGGCAGAAATGTTGTGCAAAGAGCATTCTCCTAGCGTATGGTGAGGATGAAGATTTATATATAGACCTGTCTGTGTTTTCCAGTCCATGTACTGCCAAATAAGTCATATTTTTCCCCTTCCTGTTCAAAGGAAGAATGATCCATTTATACAACTCCTATACCAGAGAGGAACAAAACACTTCCTAGCAACCTTTGATATTATCCATGTAATCATACTGGTTTCAAAGCATCGCACAGTGTGCAAGTTATCCAGCACTCTGCAGACATAAAGGGCTGTAGCATGCTGCTTACCCAGTGTGCCAGCACAGTGTGTGTAGCCGGGCGGACAAGCACTTACTGTTAAAATTACTTTCTGGTCCCTGATGTGTTCTTCCAGCGAACTATCAATTATTCATATGTTTCTGCAGGATAAATAATTTAAAGATTTTTATTAATTGCACATAAAAATTGCTTTTAAGACCATCCGTTTAATTTTGAGATGGTAAAACCTCTTGCCTCCTTGGTTATCATTAGATAACAAGCTGTTCAATTTTTAACGTTTCAAACGAATCATAGGATTGGTAGCTTTGTATTTAGCGATGTAAATGCTTTAAAAGGATACCTATAGCCCTGGCACTTTGCATGAAAAAAACAGGAGCTCCCTAAACACTGTGTAGAAAAAAAAGAGACAGATGCAAAATGCTTCTTTTCATCACTATCCAGGAATTCATGCTCCCCAATGGTGCCCATCACATGACAACGTGTTGGCATTTGGTCATGTGATAATGCTAAAAGGGAAGTAAAGAGATCAGACAGAACTGATTGGCCAACACTGCGTTAATGGGAAAACTCTGATTAGAACTGAAAATGAAAACTTGGAGTACATGAATACAGCCAACCCCGACCAATGCTTCAGTTTGCTCTACTGCTCCCCACTCTCTTTTGTCTGTAATCTGGAAACTCCTGATTGTGATGCAGAAGGTATTCCCAAATACACCCAATGCAAGCATTTTGCCTCTAACATACAGAAAGCCTAAAAAAAAATGTCAATGTCAGCACAAAGGAATTATCACTGTCACCATTTAGGCTTAGATCTATTTTGGATAAAGTGGAAAAGGGTTAGAGCCCACGTCAGGGTTTTGTCTGTGTACCTATGGAGGTCCCCCCTACTTCCTGTGAGGATGGTGATGGCAATTCTCTCAAATGTTTTTAGTAGAAGAAGGATAATAATGTTTAACATTATTATTGCTGTCTTTGCCTCACAGAAATTTTGACTCTTTCCAACCCCATCCAAAAAAAAAAAGGATGGAGTTAGGCTATGGGGCAACAGAATGCCTTTTTTTTTTTTCATTTTACAACACTTCTTTCTTAGGTAAGGGTTTTAACATACACTATATTGCCA